ATATATATATATATATTCTGCAAAGATGCATTAAATTGATCAAAAGGGACAGTGAACACATTAATGGTGCAAAATATTTCTGTTTGCAATAAATGCTGTTCTTTTGAACTTTCTATTCATCAAGGAATCCTAAAAAAACTGAAGCAGCAACAAACATATGAAGCAACACAACTGTTTTCAACACCGATAATAATAATAAATGTTTCTTGAGCAGCAAATCCACAAATTAGTATGATTTTGTGACAGTATTGAGATGTGACACTGAAGACTGGAGTAATGATGTTGAAAATTCAGCTTTACCATCACAGGAATAAATTGCATTTTAAAATATATTCATATACAAAACAGTTATTTTACATTTTAATAATATTTCACAATATTACTGTATTTTTGATCAAATAAATGCAGCACTGGTGAGCATTAGAGAATTAAAAAAAGTTTACAAAATCTTACCGACCTCAAACTTTTGTGTATGCTATTTTAGTGCTGTAATAAAACCGTATTAAAACTCTTTTTTTATCTTCCATATATTTGGTGTATGTTTTCTCTCTCAGTTGCCAGGCAGAAAGCAGGCTGCTAGTCTGGAGGCGTCTGGTGTGGGTTCAGGCAGTCTGGATTCGGCACATAACTTCCTTCAGGACAGTCTCATTCGGGTCAGCGCCCTTCAGAACCTGGAAACACCTGGTGCTCAGGATCTGCTGGAGTTTACCATCAGGTTCAAACCTTTAATAAACTACACCTATATTATTTTGAAGGGTCTCTTCATAAGGTGTTTGTAAAGATGGTTTTTAATTTCACATGCAGAGATCTGCAGAGGTTGGGGGAGCTGCAGACTGAGTTGGCTGGTTCTGCAGATTTCTGTGCCACATATTTGCGCTGCCAACTACTGCTTACCAAGGTGAATACAAATATACTGCACTAATACTTTTATTCAACAAGGCTGCATTAAATTGATCAGAATTGACAGTAAAGACATTTATAACTAAGAATGCTTTTTCAAATAAATGCTGTTCTTCTGAACTTTCGGTTCATCAAAGAATCCTGAAAAAATGTATCACAACTGTTTTCAACATTGTTGCTTGAGCATCAAATCAGCGTATTAGTATGATTTCTGAAGGATCATGTGACACAGAAGACTGGAGTAATGATGCTGAAAATTCACAGAAATTAAAAAACTGTATTTTTGATCAAACGTTGCCCAGATTTTTTATTTACTTTAGTTTTGAGCCTTGATGAGCAGTAAAGACTTCTTTCAAAAACATGAAAAAATCTTACTGACCCCAAACTTTTGTACTATTCAACTGTATTGTATTGTTTGTTTCTTTCAACCCCAGGCACTTCAGGAGAAGTTATGGACCATGGCTGTTCCGCTCTGTCTCAAACAGAACGCCAAAGTTTCAACAGCCGCTCGACAGGTACATCCTACCTCAGTTCATTTAATCCACAGCCGTCCCACCAAACTTTTGACTACTGATGTGTCATTGTTGTCATTTTGTGATGTGTGACAGATCCTGGATGAGACCTATAAGCTGGAGTTCTTGTACAGTGGTCTGGAGACGCAGCAAATTGCAACAATTCACAACGTGCGACTGCAGGCGAAAGCGTTACAGCTCATCCTGACAGCACGATCCAAACGAGGGTCAGCACTTACTAATAAACTTTCTAAAGCAATAAAATCTCAAAGATTTGAAACTGATGATCTTTACTCTTCTGAATAACAGGGTTGATCGTGTTCTTGGCATTTGTGAGAAGTTCCTGCAGGATGTGGAGTCATTTCAAAGGTAAAAACACTTCATGTTAAAGGGATAGTTCACCCAAAAATGAAAATTCTGTCATGGTTTACTCACCCTCGAGGTGTTACAGGTTTGGAACAACTTGAGGGTGAGTAAATGATGACAGAATTTTCATTTTTGAGTGAACTATCCCTTTAAGGCAAGCAAACACTTGGATTTTGGCCGGATTTTGCTGTCGCAAACAGATTTCCAGGGTCTGTGACAAACCCCCGGATCACGGATGCTGTTTGATATTATTGCCATGTGGTCCTGTAGTGTGTGCAATGCAACGACTAGCTGGAACTAATCCAGCCAATCGCAGTGCAGATGGTATAAACGGAGAAATCTCGAAATCATTTGCATGAATTTCTGGCGTGAATTTATGTGAAAGTTTTTTCGCTGTTGGTCAGGGCGGCCTCTTGACCAAATGTCATGTAGTTTGTGCACCTCATCAGCATTGTGTTCTGTAGTATGTGCACTGTTATAACAAGACAACGACAGATGACAAGAAACCTTGTTCTGTAGTGTGAGCACCACAGCAATTCAGCTAGTCTTACAGTCCTGTAGTGTGAGCTTGCCCTTACTTAAAGATACTGTGTTATAAATGCATCAAATCTCAATCTATACGTTGACGTGTGAAGAATCACTGAATATTCTTGTCTTTCCATTCTCAGGCTCTTCATGACAGAGTTGCCCCATTTCCAGGACAGTTTTGTTGAGAAACTCCTGGAGTTGATGCCCAGGCTGACAGCCTGCAAACCTCATGATCTGGTTAAAATCTTTCAGACCACACTGCGGCAAAGCAGATTCATCCATCTCAAACTACCTGAGCAGGTGCGCACGCAGATTCAAGATACAGGAAACAGCTTGTTTGTTCCCAAACGTGTGTTGAATTATCCTTTTTTTTTTCGTTTATTTTGGTTTGTTTAGATCCACAGGGCGTCAGCAACAATTATCGAGCCGACAGGAGAATCAGACAACGCTTTGAGATTCACCTCTGGTCTGGTAGTGGCGTTAGATATAGACGCTACTCTTGAACATGTACAAGACCCACAGACAACAGTCAAAGTGCAGGTTAGATGCTTCAACCTCATTTCTTTTCAGTCAAATCACATATAAGCAAAGAAAAACTGACTCTATTTTCATAAAAAAAGGAAAAAGGACCTCACTTTTCACCATCTAATCAATTCTCAATGGATGCATTTAAATCCCACCCTACGTATTCCTGTTGCTCAAACAGTAGAGCTAGCAACGCCAAAGTCATGGGTTTGAACTGATAAAAGTTTTACCTGCAATGCATTAAGTTTTAATGCATTACAAGTCACTTTGTATAAAAGCGTCTGCCCGTTGCATAAATGTCAATACTCTTCCATTGTTTCAGGCATACAATTACTTTGCTTCAATTTGTGTACAATTTTTTTTTCGTCCTCCCACAGGTGCTGTATCCAGATGGACAGTCTCACATAATCCACCCCAAACCTGGAGATTTCAGGACCCCAGGACCTGGACGTGTGCGACTGATCACGCAGGTTTATCTCTCTCATTCTGCCTGGACAGGTTGGTATCCTTTCTGAAATGTGTCTTTTTCTGCTGTTAGTAACAGACACATGCACATCAAGACACCAGTTGTGTATTTTTGGTCAAGTATCATTTTGCTGAAGCTATTCTTTGTGTTTAGTCCTTGTATAAAATAATGATGCAAACACAAAGACAAATCCTTCTCTGCTGGTAGCGAACAGCATGAACCCTTCACAGTTCCACAGATATAAATAGAACTGCATCTAGTCCAACAAGGCAGCATATTGCTCGAGTTATTTTATATCTGTGAGTGTGACCAGAAGAATACTGAGCACCGCAGCTGAGGCTGAATGCATTTCTGCTTTAGTCATATAGTGTCTATAGTGGTGAACGGAAATGTTCCCATTTGCCCCAGTAGCAAAGATAAAAATCCACAATAGTTTCTATGAATTCCAAAAGAGTAAAACATTTTTGAGATAGATTAATGTCACATTTTCAATCACTCTCTCAGCCATTGGTATTAGAACCATTCATGCAGCAGCTGAAAATCATGCTTTTTTACATTTTCAATTTTCTTTAGTGTGTAAAAAAGCCTCAACTGTAGTTTTCTTCCGGGAACGAGCACTTCACAATATTTTTCATTTAAATAATTCCAGCTAAAGCAATAAGCATAAAAGGGTGAAGGCCTGTTAGTAGCGTTTTGAAACTAACGGTTATGGCAAGGGACATGGCATTTCCCAAACTTGCTCGAAGCGGTTGACCAATCACAACACACTGGACCAGCTGACCAATAAGAGTGCATTGTGCTTTTTGGAAGGAGGGGCTTCATAGAGACCGGAACTAAACAGAGCGTTACTGACAGACTGGGAAAAGAGGTGCTGGAACAGTCAATTATGTGGAAAAATTATGTTTTTTGAACATTCAACCATAAAACCTTATTCTAATAGACCACAAAATCAAAACTCTGAAAAAGGGCATAAAAGGTCCTCTTCAACCATTTTCTGTAATTTAATAGCAAGGTATCAAAACACAAACTAAAGTGTTATAAATGTACATGAAACTATACAAAATTAAAACAAACTTTTTATGATGTTAATAACTGGAAAATAATTCAAAAGGTCCACTGTACACAACTCATCAGTGCATGTTATTCCTAAGGGAAAAAGTGTTATTTATGACCTTTGTTTTATGCGTACTAACAAATTGCAGAAAGACATTACAACTAAAACGTTTTGTTATACTGCACTTACAAAAGCACCTTGGATTACCATGTAAATACTGTAGTATTTGTCTGTATATATATATATAATACTAGGATCACCTGTTACTATCCCAGTCTTTTTTCAAGAGTACATTCACAGTGGAAAGTAGAATGTAATCTGAAGTGCATCTCATGTCTGTGTGTGTTTTTACTCTCAGAGCCCTGTCAGATTGAAGTGCGGTTGCTTCTGGCCTACAGCACCAGCAGCTGTAAACTATATGTCTCTAAACCTGCGTGGAATGAGAGTGTAGATGGTCTCCCCACCAGTGAGAGCTCAATTGAGGGCACAATCCACCTCAGCAAACCTGTTAAAGTCTTCATTATGCCAAAACCAGCTCGTCGCTGACCCCTGTGTGTGTGTGTGTGTGTGTGTGTGTGTGTGTGTGTGTGTGTGTGTGTGTGTGTGTGTGTGTGTGTGTGTGTGTGTGTGAAATTAACACAAAATCAAATGTTTTCACAATTATGTTTAATCTTAAATAAATCGTTTTTTGTTCATTTGTATCACTGGTGTGTGTGATAATAATGGGGTATTTTCATTTGATTATAAAGCAAATAACTTTTTCACCAAAAGTAAGGAAAATATTTCCTCCAATAGCCCAGAGAGCAAATTATAAAGCATCTATTAAGAAGACAATGTTCATTTGAAGTGTAAGGCACTTTTAACACAGCATTAAATGAATTAGCTGGTTGTGTTAATGATGTCATCAGCAGGTGGAGTGGAAGACCCCGCCCACTTTAGCACCCTGTCCCGCCAGAGCGTTATATTCTTTAACAGCCTGCTCGGTCTGGAACACCCTGACGTCGACACCCTGCTTCTTCACGTAATCTACGGTGGAGGGAGGCACCTGAAACATAAAAGATAAAAAGATTCGCTTATTTAAGGATTGAAATATTCAGATCATGGACAGTGTTGATCATCGAAATCACAATCCTACCTGTAGAGCTTCACTCATCCCTCTCCCTATGACCAGCGTCTGCACCCCTTTCCTCAGGACCTCTTCCAGATCAGCTGGCTGGACACTGGGATAATGCTGGCAGGACCATAGATGTGCTTAGTTAGACACATCTCTAATAAATAACATTTAAAGCAAACTGGTTGAAATACAAGATAATATGGATATATTGAACATTTTTGGTCACTACATTGTTCCCATATATCTATTTGTGTTATTTCATAGAATGCAATTAAATATCCCTGAATGAAATGCAGTTGCTTTGTATAAAAGCATCTGCCAAATGCATAAATGTAAATATTATAAAAGTACAATGAATACTAAAACAGATTTTACAAAGCATACATTGCTGTTTTTATGAAAATATAAAATTTTAAGAAGATAATGTAATTCTGTCATGACAATGGATATGGATATGGCAATGTTAATGTCGTGGCGTAATAGATCTGCTACACTGCTGCTGCGGACCAAGTACCGAGACTTGCTACTGCGAATACCTTCACAGACATTGCTGTGAACATGTAAGTCATAATGCTGCACATGTAACATACATGAATTAACTCTGTAGCAGATCTATACAGGTGGAGCTGGGGAAGGGGGAGGGTTTCTGAAAGTGCGCTGCAGTCTGCCAACAGGAAACAATGCCAAGTATTTGAATGTTTGAGCAGCAAGCTCATTGGCCGCTGATGCAACAGCAACCAATCAGCTGTGCCGTGTAGATAACGACATAAATGCTACCAATAAGTTAAAGACCTATCAGCCTGCACCATTCAGAGTTTCATGCCAGAACTATGTAATAAAGATGGGGGTAATTTTACAGTGTGATCTGGTGTTTAACTTACATCTGTGCCGGTTTCACGCCAGTCCCAGGCACGGCTGCCACCAGGCCACACTTTACAGTCTTTATAGGATGCAGAGCAACCTTTGACCTTCATGTGGCCCCAGGATAAGGAAGCAATCTCTGGAGAAGACATGCTCAGCTTTTTCTGTAACAGAGTGGAAGACAAATCAGATGCATTTATTAGTCTTTTTCTTGACTTTTTACATTGTATTATACTATATTACTATAGTATAATACCATGTTTTTTTGTACAAGTACCATGCTAGTTCCTTAAAGTGTCAATGTAAAATCATTGGTACGTCAATATGTTAATCTTTCAGTACCATAGTACTACCATCTTTGTACAGGATGTCACTCTAATAAACCCTGACTGCTTTTTTTAAACACTTAATTAACTTACAAAAAACTATTTACAAATGATAAACCTTAACCTACCCAGCGTAGCACTTGTACATGCATACATATGTCATAAAACCTGCTTTCTCTAACGAGTTTTTTTTATCAGGCAACTAATAATTTTTATTACAAAAACAACTTTATACACGTACAACTCATGCACTATAAATATTTTTCATTATATAATCTTGCCTCTGCCTGCAACCCAATCTTGCTTGTGTTGTGCTTTTCTTCGTGTGACGGCAGGCCACACCCACCACGTACGTTACTGGCCAGCGTCTAATCAGCGTACGCTTCAGCCCTTTACGCTGATTGGCTGCCGTTCAGTGACGTAGCAAAAGCTGGAGTCAGTCAGTCAACGGCATGGTCCACATCCTCTCAGCAGCCACTCGGATAATATAGTAATTAATATATGAATTGGATAATATAGTAAATTATTTAATTTAAAGGAATAAATAAAATAATTATTAAAATAAAAAATAAAAAAATAATTATTTTTTTTATTAATTAATTTAATTATTCATATATCAAAAATATTTTATTAAACACAAGCACGAGAGTTTATAATAGAGGAGTGTCAGCGAGACAAGACATGTTAAAGCAGCACTTATTATATTAGCAGCAGTATGAATAAATACGATTTTCTGTTCTAATTCTTTTTTCATTTACATTTAAATATTAACTTTACATATTAATTTATTTAACTATTCATTCCGGTCATGAATAAACACAAACACGACACTCTTTCTATTAGCATAACAGTTAGTGTACGTGGAAAAAAAGTGTGGCGTCATCTTCATCACAATAACAATAACACTTTATATATGTTATTGTTATGAAGACGATGACGACGATGATGGTGGCATTGTGGTGATCCAGATCCACACACACACTCTCTCACACACACACACACACACACACACACACTAGATGCCCCTCTGGATGATGCTCTGGGTGGGTGTCGCGGTGTATTGTGGGCAGTTTTGGGTCTAAGCAGAGCATAGCTCGTCATCTCCAGGAAAGATGGCTGCTCCGGGCACCACAGCAGCTCTTCCTCCAGCGCTCAGTCCCGGGTTTGCGGTGGTCTGCTCTTTTTTGGAGCGCTACGGGCCTATTCTGGATCTGCCCGAGCTGACGTTCCCTCAGCTGGAGCGATACTTACAAGATACATCAGCGGGTGAGCTACGGGAGAGGCTGGGTTTGTGTTTATTTGGACAGGCTCCTCATCTTTGCCCATCAGGGGTTTGATCACTTAAAGTTTGGCTTGTTGTACCTTCGTAGTCTTTGTTTGGATGAGAATCGTGTCCCCGATGCTTCAGATGGACTGTGGCGAAGTGTTTTTAAAGCAGTCATGTGTGGTTTTTCCACCCTTTCCCAGTGGAAAAATCAAATTTAAAGATTAATCTCAGTGTATGATTGCCGTCAGAGTGACTATACGCACTGCTAAGGGTGTTATCATGCTGTTGGTGACCATTAAATACAGAGACACTTCAGTATAGTACGATAAATTGGTCTGATATACATTTACGTTCAGATTATAAACAACGATGTGACTGTACCCGCACACTGCACATGCGCAGGCCGCTGTCAAACTTCCTATGCTAACTGTAATAATAGAATCGCTGCACAGATTTGTTTACGTCCAGTCCACTTTAAATACTGTATTAATTGTGTACTCCTAGGTTTCTTATAACAATAGCTGAATGTGAGCTCCACAGCACTAATGTTGTCATTTAGGAGAATTGCGCTTGTAAACGTCATTGCATTATTATGTTTTCGCTCTGACATTGCTGATAGCTGATTGGATAAATCGATGATATAGTAATGAGAGAGATGTGTTTCTAATGCATTTATTTTAAAGAATAAATAAAAGGTATACATAGTAATGAGCAAAATGAAAGAAAAGTGCAAGGGACAGGAAAACTATTTTTTGAAAGTTAGCACAAGCATGGTTTTCATTTCTCAAAAAAAGGTTTTATGGTAATGTGAAGTTTTAAATGCTAAAATAATTTAAATACTGCTCAAAATTAATCACAATTCTTTGTACAATTTAGTTCCTCGGCCATTGATTGAGCTCCATGTCAAACTACTGCGGAAGATCGGCAAAACAGTCACACCAGACAGATGGGAGAAGTATCTTGTAAAGGTAAGTGTTCTAGTTTTAAATCATATGCCGTGAAAATGGAAATATCCATGCAAATCTGTCTGTTTGTTTAAATCATTTTTGATGCAGGTGTGCCAGGAATTTAACAGCACCTGGGCATGGGAAATGGAAAGAAAAAGCTACCTAGAAATGACAGTTGAGTGTAAGACAGGCATTTTAAAGGTCAGTATTTCCCAGGGGACTTATTTTCTATACATCAATAATAGTTTGACTTGTTTTGATGGAGATATGATTTTATGAAGTTGTATTGCTTCTTATGTAACGTGTCAAGAACATGTCCAGGTCATATTTTACCCCAAAATAAAGTGTGCCTTGAATATTTTTTTTTTTTTTTATGAGATTCACCTTTATTCTTTATTTCATTAACAGTACTTGTGTGAGTGCCAGTTTGATGACAATCTCAAGTTTAAGACATTAATCAACGAGGAAGACCCAGACAAGATGCGTCTACAACCCATCGGTAGAGACAAGGAAGGTCTTCTGTACTGGTTCCAGTTAGATCAAGAACAGAATATACGTGTTTATTCTGAAGAACAGGATGATTTAGATGGATCCTCCTGGAAATGCATTGCGAAGTAAGCAGTTTGTGAGGAAAAGACCAGAATGGTTTATCAAAATGATAAGCAAAAGAAACATTTCACATCAATTATCAAGTTATGAGAACATAAAATCTTAAGTTAAAGAACACTAACAGCACATTCAATGTCTACATTTTGAACATTGTGTTTCCTCCGAATATTTTTTCTAGAAGTATAATAGTTATACCTCCTTTGATGAAGTTTATCAAGGAATAAGAATTGCATTTTACTTTAAACAGGAATAGGAATGATCTTGCAGACACACTAGAACAGCTTAAAGCCAAGATTGACCCACCCGTGACTGACCAAGAGACGCAAGGCTGTCCCACCAGCCCAAATATGGAGGCAGAAGGTGTTAAAGGTAAAACTCATTGGAAAATCATTCCCATTTAGGGCTTTAAGCACCACAGACATTGAGAGGAACATGTCTCCTACAATATCCAGACTAGTTGTCAACTACTGTGGGGTTTACTGTATTGTTTTGTATTCAAGGTGAGGCTGGGGACTTGAGAAACCATGTATCGGGACAAGGGGACTTTACCAATACCACCTTCAATTCCAATGAAATTGGGTTAATACCTAAAGACATTAAAAAAGAAACACCAATGGATCCTGTTAAACCAGAGCAAGAGGAGAAAGTTGCTGAAATTTCCAAGCCTAAATTGGTCATCGACAACAGGGTTAGTACGATCAAAACTCTTGTCAAAGAAGAACAAAAAGATTGTCCCAAACCATGGAATGCCATTTCTGTCGTCATGCCTCCTGCTTCCATCAAACACGAACCGGCAAAGAAATCCGAGATGCAGGATGACAAGAAAGAGATGATGTTTGGGAATGTGGCTAGAACTGTAAAGAGCGACCAACAGGCTAAAATACCGCTGAAGAAGAGGGAGTTGAAAAGGAGTGGAGGATATGATGTCAGCAATCACTACAGCAATGTCAATCACAGCAACAACAACCTTAACAGCAATGGCAGCATCAGCACAGGAGGAATCATCGTTCGCAATCCTGCCGTCTTGCCATTGAAGGAGCAGCAAATCAAAAGAGAATACCCAACTGATGAGGAGAAAGGACCAACGGCCATCATCCCTGTCCCACAAAAGCTAATTGGGAAGCATTCACCTGTTGATCTTTACCAAACGGTATCACAAGAACAATACGTAGGTGTTGGAGTTATCAAAGGTCCCATTGAGAGAAAGAGGCCTTTGAATGAAAACGATAATTCTTCAAATGGTCATCATGGGAATATGAATGTCTTGAAGACTGAAGTTGGAGGCACAGATAGCGTAAGACAGTCTGTACTTGTTGGGAAATCCATGGTTAAAGCAGACAATGGTCCTCATCCATGCAGTATCCTTGAGGATCTGGTGTCAAAAGATGCTTGCAAGAAGAGCCCAGATGTGGAAGCAAAAGAATCAAACCTTGTTGAGGAGTCGCCAATGACTGAAGAGATGCAAAAGACTTCAGTTGAGGAAAAGGTTGACAAAATTGAAGATGAAGAAGAACTCAAAAACAGCAAGATGGCAGCTTTGTCAGCCAGAGAAAAAACTGATGTTGAGGATGACAGCAAAGACAAACGTCTGAAAAGCCCAAGAAAGAGAAGGTCACAAAAAGCCAAATCCAAGCTCCAAGCAAAAGAAGACAGCCAAAACCCTGAGCTCTTATCCAGCATTGGTGAGGTTTTGGTGAAGGATGCGGGAGACAGTGAAAAAATTGGACACAACGATAATGAAGAGGTATCGTCGGAGCTTCAGAAGGAGGGGATTCGCCTGAAAATCAAGATCCCGCTTCATAGGCGAACGCCTGAACTCCAGCACAAGGACATCGAAGAGTTGGAAACCAGCAATCGGAGATCCCTACGGAGATCTGCCAGGATCTGCAAGCCCAGCCCCAAAGTGGCAGATTGTCGAGACAAGAAGCAAGATGGGAAACTTAAGGCCTCCTCAGAAGCACAGGATGAAGAGGAACGCATAGTAGACGAAGAGGTGAATGTGGATCCCAAGGAGATGCACAAAAAAGTGGACATGGAAGGACAGCCTAAGTCTTTGAAGGTAGTCCAAAACTTTTTATATCCATTCCAACAAATTGCACAGAAAGCTTTTATTTATGCAAATGTTGTTTTTTACTCTTTTAGGCCAAACGGCGACACAGGCGTACTCGTTGGTCGAAAATCCGTACGAAAAATAGCAAATTCAAAGGAGCTCCGGATCGGGAGGAGGACGTGGCCGACGACAACGCCGCAAACAATGAAGACACCAAATCAGAGAGAAAAGACCACAAGAGTGAGACTGAATCAGACCAATCCAACGAGATTCAACCTGAAGATGCTTGTAAACACTGTGGGCTCGCTAACCACCCAGAACTAGTGAGTTCTCTTTTTATCAATTCAGACTACTACTTTAGAATTGAAAATAGATTATGCCTTAATGGGTTTCTAAAACGATTTAAGCTAGAAGATGAGATTGTCTGTCAAATGGCAAAAGATTAGAAGAAACAAAGGTAGCACTTTATTGTACTGTCTTGTTCCCCATGTACATACTATGTACTTATTATA